ACCCATCTCTTGAAAAGGACAAAAGCTGATCCCACAGCTATAAATATTCAACTCTGAAACAAACTGCACCAGAGCAAAGAGTGCTACTCCTGCCCTCTGAAAGTGCCAGCCACAGAGACTGGCGAAACGATAGGAAGAACAACCTTCAGAACACGGCCAAAAAACCAAAAAAACCCACAACAACCATTAGATCCCGGCCGTAAAAGCCTTCGCAAATACATTTAAAAAGTAATTTTTCTTTTTGTTGCACATGTAATTATTTGGTACCTTGTACTTGACTAAAATCTCATAGTACTAGCAGGGGCCATCTTACCTTTTTTTGGGGGGGGGTAAAAAAATGATCTGACCAGTTTTTTGGTTAAAAATATAGGAGGGAATTAAGATTCAGCAGAAGTGTTGTCTCTTAGTGTGTGGCATTGCAAAAGATACAGAGGCACAAATCTCAGATTGCACACTGTCCCATTCACATCCTTAAATGTGAATTCATGCTGTCTTGGGTCCCTTAACTGGGAGAAATAGAAATAAAAGTAAGTTGGTAGCATAGAAATAAAAGTAAGCATGTTTGTAGGTAACTAAATGCTGTAAAATTAAAAATATCCGTGTTCTACTGAGTTACCAATCAGTAGCTCAATCCCTTGCAATGAGACATATCCCTGCTCATCCATGTGGCTGCCTTATGAGTACTGAAATCCAGCACCCATCTGCGAGGTGGGAAAATGATGATTATGAGCCCCCTTGAAACATTCCTGAGCAGGCACCTTTTGCTGATTCTTTGCCATGTTGCAGGCCACCTGAAATCTTTGGTCTAGCCAATTCCCCTCAACAGCTTACATGCTTCCACTTCTTGAGCATCGCTGCATGTGGGCCAATGCTCCTGTGTATCTATCTGGACTGCAACTCTGGCCTTGCTGGTTCCCTACCCTGAACATGATGTGCCCATTAGATATTCTTGTCCTGAGCAAGAAACTGCAGAGGTGAGGGCCTTTGTGAAACAGAAGCAACAACTGGATGACTCTTCACAAAATGCTGGCCTGTAGAAAATAATTAATAAGCAACAATTGTCCATAAAATAATCTATTTTGTTTGATTAATCATTTAGTCATCCTTAATAAATAATGCTGGCTATTTATCACTGTCTTCCAAATTTTCTAAGACACACTTTGGTTTCTGATTTAAAGGTGGAGGCTTCCCTTTGTCACTGGAAAAGGCACATTTACAGGGTTTGAATGATCGGCTGTTTGAGCAGCCCATCCCTCAATGAGTCATTCATTGTTCTGGTTGTGCCTGGTCACTGGAGGCAGCCAAGCCCGGGGCACCATTCATGCAAATGATCTGGTTGTGCAAAGATCCAACAGCATTATTCACTCCCCAATTAACTGCTAAGTAGAGATTGATTATATATGGCTGAGACCAGAGCAGTACATCATTCAGAGGCACAGTGGGCACCCTCCTCTGCGGACGGGATATTTGAATGATTTAATCTGGGTACAGTCTTCCATAGTTCACTAGGCTGCCTTGACACAACCTTGCTGAATTATTTCTCTAACTAAGATCAAGGAGCCCAAGGGGGGTGGAGGGCAGGTAGGAGAAAAGAGGGAGAAAAGACAGATGTTAGTGGTCAGCAACTTGGCTGTTCCCCTCTGCTAGAGTTGTGTGCAAGACAGTTAGTCCTTTTTTTCCCCTAAAGCAGGGAAGGGCAACCATGGCCTTCCAAATATTCTTGGACTGAATATTCCTGTGGAATCTCTTAGGCCTATGTTGACTAGGGATAATGGGAGGTGTAGGCTCAAAAACCTGGAGGGCTACGGTTGTTCACTCCTGCACTAAATTGACTTTTTGCCCTCAGATGCATTGCAGAATGGTGTTCCATGGCTAGTATATAATTGGCAGTCCAATATGTATCTGAATATTGTCGGAGAGCCATCTTGTGCTGTTCCTCAGAATGTGTTGGGTAGGCCTGTTGAAACGGGTTTGCAGGGAAAAGCTGATATATTTTGGAGTGATACCTTGGACTGATTCTGCCTCTCAAAGCTTACCGTTTCCCAGCAAGTAGGCTACAGCAGCTCTCTTCAGCATCCACACTAGCCCTGTCCTGCTTGCAACTAATACAGTACAGTATCACAGATAATCTTGCCCAACACCCTTCAACACCAGGGTAGGCTGCTGGCTCTCATACATTAGCAATTGATAGGTGAATTTTCAGTTTCATGTGGTCACTGACAAAGCACATTTGTATTTCAAAAGTAAACTTTTAAACTACTTGTCCTTGTAAGACTTGGTGTGTGACATTAGTCATTATAATAGCTCTTTTGAGAGCTCTAACAAGTGCAGGTGGTGAATTGGTGAAGGTTAAGTCAGGCAGGATGTTAAGTCAAGCCCTTACCTGTGCAGGGCTTATATCCAAAGGCAACTCTGTCCTTTCTTCTCTTGACCTCATAAGCGTTTCTGGAAGGCCTCCCCGGGACACAGCTCAAGGAGTGACCATGATTTGCACTCTTCTGGGCATGCTGACACAGCAGAGGGTTCCCCCTTAGGACACAACGAGAAGAGAGTTCATCTGGCAGTGGCAGCAGCAAAAGCACAGATATTTCAATGGTTACCGCCGAGAAAGGGGCCAGGAGGGTTCATCCAGCCAAAACAGGAAAAGAACTAGCTGAGCCCAAAATCTAGCGGTTGCCTCTGCTAATTAACCCAAGATACAATCTTATGGAAACTCCTCTTGTGCACTTGCACCTTAAATGAATTGGGGCATTTGAAGAGGAGGCTTAGCACTAACAATGTCATGGCAGATCTGTTCAAACCTCTGCCCAACTAATTACTGCATGACTTATCTGTGAGTTAGTTAATTAATCTATCAATCAGTAAATATCTTCTAGAAATACTTCTTAATTTTACAAAATGATCCATTTTTGTAGAGCCTTACAGTTCTTAGTGAGTTTTGATGGCTTTTGATGACTCGGGGCGGGGGGGATGAGCATATATCTTGCTACAGTACTGTACTTGGTTTGCTTTTACTGAGGTTTGGTTTGTCCCATTTCCCAACAACTGCATGTGTTAAGAGTGATCCATCCCACTCCTTTTGCAAGCTATTTCACTCCTTTCTGGCACAGTGCTAGGGCTGCAGTTTCTTTGGTGTGATTGGGAGGGCTCCTGATTATCCTGTTCTGCAATCTGTGTGGTTGCTTAATTTGCTCCCAAATAGAGCTGTGGGTGGCGTTCTCTTTGGTGACCCTGTAATGTGTGCAGTGAGTTGTAACATTAGAAAGGACAGTGGAGAAACCCTCTCCTCTATTTTCCTTAGTGACACAGCACTATTTCAGTATGAGGGAGTATGCCTGCTGGGTTGATGTATTGCTGTGGTGCTATACAACTTACTAAATTAAACAAAACCAAAAAAAAAAAAGGAAAGCAGGGAGATGGGGGCAATCCTCTAAAGGGGGAGAAAACAGAGCAATCTGAAACGCTATCTGGATCCTTCTTGTTGAAGAAGAAAAGTTGTGTGTGAACAGAAGGATTGCTCAAATGCAAGATAAATAGATCACACAGAAGATAAGAGCCCTTTCAATTTGACTCAAATCACTCCAGATTCCCTCATCTAGTCACACACTCTCTAAGCCAGTTAGATTTCTGTCGCTCTCCATGGGTGGTGTGGAAGCTGGAAAAAAAACAGGTTTTGAAGTCTGTCAGAGGATAAAGAAGAGAGAAGAAACTTCCACAGTTTCAGGCTTGCTGGAAAACATTCCCGAGAAGCTTCTGCCTGAGTGGCAGAAGCAGCTTTTTAACCCTAGCATGCTGGACTGATAGGGTAAGTTTTACAACTTCGGTCCAGCATTCCAGTTATTAAGGCACTCACAATCACTGTGACATGCAGTAGCCACAGAGGCAAAATGACTGTGTGTGTGCCAGCTGTTCAGCCAATGTAGCTGTAAATTAACAATTTATTGTATGTAGGTGCACCCGTGCACCTATGTTAAGTACACTTTGTCATTTCCAAAATCGGAATCCTGTAGCCCAGTAACAACTTCTTCTGTGGGGTCCTACACAAAATCAGGAAACAATGTATGCTTTTTCTTCGTTGGAAATTTTTTCCCCAGAAAAGTATTCTGTCCTGGAGGTATGCAAAAGGAATGTCAGAATGCGCATATGGGAGTTATGGCCTACATGTGTAATGGGTGTGATATGCGTGTTCCTCGAGCCCAGCAGCTGAGGCCTCCCTTGTTTACTGTGACATATTTGCTAAATCCTTTGCTAATACTCACATCCAGCCGGTGTCAGTTGTTGAGAAAACAAGAAGAGTCCTCACCCAGGCCAAAGTCTAGCTGATCCAGTGTTGTGCTTTCAGCAGTAACTGGCCAGATGGCTCTGCAGACTCTCAGGTGTGATCTTATGTAGGCATCCCAGGAACAGAAGTTGATGCTGTTCCCAGCCAGCACTTCTGTGCAGGATTATGAAGCTACCCTTTATCACTGTTGCAGGAAATTGGATTTGATAGCTAGCTAGCTAGCTAGCTAGCTAGACAGACAGACAGACAGACAGACAGATAGATCTAGCAGACCTTAAATATATATTTATATCTAGCAGAACTTAAAGAATAAAATTAATTTATTTGAGTATAGTTCCCAGAATCCAGCAGCAAACATTGGCCAGAGACTATACAAAAAGTAACTTTTTGAACTACAGCTTCCAGAACCACATGGCCAGTATAGCCACTGGCCTGGATTCTCGGAACTATACTCAAATAAATTAATTTTTCAACCTCTGGTTTGCTTGTGTGAGTCATCTGAGCAGAAGACTCTGAAACATTGTGTTTAAATGAGCATCCTTGGCTAGTTCAGGCCCCAAGGATCTTTCCCTAATGGTTCCCCGACACTGAAAGTCCATCCATGGGGACCTGGCAACTGTCGGTCATGCTTTTGTAACCTGAACAATTATCAACTAGTGCAGCTCGTTGTACATGGTGTGCCCTTAAAGAGTGCTCTGAAGCAGCAGTAAATACACAACCACTTCCTTTTGCTGAGGCGACATAATTAGTACTCCCCACAGTTGCGCTGCTGCTTTTAGCTTCCGGCCCCAATTTGAAGTGTTGGTGGTTACCTTCAAAGACCTTGACAGCCCTTACTGTACCAGGGAGTTCCTGCGCTCCTGCAGACTCTTTTAGCTGTGAGTGAAACCCTGCTCCAGATACCACCCTGTTAACACACGAAGACTTCTGTCACACCAAAGTTGCAAACCTGAGTGTCAAGGGCGCCTGACGGAGCTGGATGGAATTCTGTTTCAGAAGCCAGGTAAAAGACCTGCCTATTTAGGCAGAACGGTTTGGGTATTTAACCTGTGAATCCGTACAGTCCTAGTATTTTGTGATCATCAGTTTTCCGGTTTATTTTTATTTGTTGTTCGGTATGATTTCACTGGTATGCTGTAAACTGCTTTTGAGGGCTGAGCTACCCTTTCCAGTTCAACCACTTTCCCCCTCCTTGCACCTGGGGAAACGCTACTGTGATGGTTTCGTGTGTGTGGCCAGAGGAATAAGAGTAGGAGGGAGAGATGCAATGGCACTGCCTAATAAACTCTCCTGGTGACTTACGTATTCTTTGGGCCTGAATGGGCAGAAAAGCAAGACATTAAGGGTTTAAAAGAAACAATTCAATCAAATACTAGTATGAAATGCAGTTTTGGTGGCGTAGTGGCTAAGGAAGGGATAGGGAATATGTGGGCTCCTGGATGTAATTTGGGTTGCAATTCCCATCATCCTTCATCACTAGCTGTGCTGGCAAGGGCTGATTGTATTGACAGTTCAAAAAACTTTGGAGGGCCCCATGTTCCTCCTGATCCTTGGGATAGAGTTTTAGACTAGGTCTGGGGAGACCCAGATTTATATGTCGAATAAACGCTAAAGCTTCCTGTGTGACCATGAGGGAGCCACTCTAATTGACAGCCTAATCTATCCCTCAGGGCTGTTGGGAGCATAAAAGGGATACAGAGAACACAGTATATGCTCCATTTTGATCTTAGATAGTGAGTGAGTGGGTGACACCTTTTATTGGACCTTACTTGTTTTTAGATAGTGGGATACTATGTGGTGAAGTCATAAAAGGATGTGATTAAGACAGATTTTAGCACTTTAAAATCCCTTTGATTTCAGGGAGAGAGCTAAGCAAATTCTTTACTCTCTGTCATTAAAATCAAGAGTGTTTAACTAAAATGTGCTCATCAAATATTATTTACAGAGTTTATAAATAAAATACTGTGCAAATATATAAGGAAAAAAAACCAAACCTCTCATTATTTAGTAAAATTCTGACTATATCCGTTAATAATATCATTCTAGGTGTGCAAAGAGCTGTGATGCCTTTTAGGGCCCATCCTACCATGACTCAGAGAGAAATAAAGGGCAGATAACAGCTACCATTAAAGGGAATATACCGTAGATACCCTACAGGCACATTGAACTCTCAGTGGGTACAGTAGAGTGTCTCATCTTTAAGGGGGTCTCAATTCAAAATATTTGGTAGAAGCATCCGGGGTGAATTGGGAATACACTTCTGCCCTTGCAAAGGAACGGAGATTTCAAGGAGCTGATGTGACGGAATGAATTTCCCCTTTAATTATACTGAATTAGTGTCAGAACTTGGAAATTTACCTTTTTGTACTACAGATTCCAGAGTCCCCTAACCAAATGCAGGGGAGGAAAGAGCTGGAATCCCAAGGGATTGCTCAGAGCATAACCCACCCACCCCCCGTCATTGAAGACTTGGCACTGGGAGTAAGCGGCAAGTGGCTGCTGCTCCCGTTGGCTGCCTTACTCTGCCTTGCACAGAGTAACCTTTGGAGCTATTCCTGGTGACCACAAGCTTCTGGCTCTCCTGAAGAAGCACTTTCTGTGGCTTGGAATATTAACCTGTTGCCTACAGAAGGGGTGGGGTGGGGTCAGCCCAAAGAACAAGGTGACAGCAGCTTCCTGGAAAGGGGGCATCTAGAAGAGACTGCCGGCCTGTCCAGAATTACATCCAGTGAAAGGTTAATGGTCTTGAATTAAACTGGGATGGGCTTAATGTCCTTTTGCCACTGGGCTAAGCTCCATACCAATCATCCAAGGATTAGGCAATTCATTCACTTTACAAACAGGCATTAGCTCAGGGTCAGGGAGAGAGAGGGAGAGAGATGCTGATTTAACAGTTCTGGAAAGCAGCATGGCTCAGTGGTTTAGCTGCAGTGCTTTTGTAGGAGCGTGCCCACTGGGTCAGGGGCCGAAAATCCACCCTCTCCCTACCACTGCCCAGTGTAAAAGACTGGGCAGTGAGTACTCATGATGGGCGGTCTATAACTTTCAGTGAGAAAATACACTTAGCAGAGTGTAAATGATCATAATCTTCCTGGACCTGTGTAGTTCTCGCATGTTTATAGAAATCTCTTTGCTATTACATTTGTTAAAAGCTTCTTGTTTTCACTCCCCATAAATGTTTGTTTCCTGGCAGTAGAGATGGAGCTTTGCAAATCAGGAAAGCTTCTTATAGGTTTCTGCTTTTATACACAATAGGATCTCTTAAGTTTTATTCCACATCTCTAGTGGGGCCTTTGGTGCCATTCATTAGCATTTGGTGCATTGTCACTACTGACAAACGGTTTCTTCTTCTTTTAAAAAAATCATTGTTTTTACCTGCCATCAAGTTGTCTCCGACTTATGGCGGCCCTATGAATGAGTGATCTCCAAAATGCCCTGTCCTAAACAGCGCTGCTCCGCTCTTGCAAACTCAAGCCTGTGGCTTCCTTTAGGGAATCAGCCCACCTCATATTTGCTCTTCCTTCTTTCCTGCTGTCTTCCGTTTTTCCTAGCATTATTGCCTTTCCAGAGTAGTGTCCTTTCACAGTGTATCCAAAGCATGGCAGCCTCAGTTTCGTGATTTTTTTGCCTCCAGACATAGTTATGGCTTTATTTGCTGTAGGACTTACTTGTTTGTCTTTCTGGAAGTTCAGGGTATCCACAAAGCTCTTCTCCAGCACCATATTCCAAATGAGCAATTCCCCCTCCCCGACAAAATTCTCTGTCCAGCTTTCACACCCATACATAGTGATAAAAAATACAGTGGTGTGGATGATCTTGGCCTTAGTCTTCCTTCATTGCTGGCCTTCTGTCTTCTTATTTCTTGGCTGCCGTCTCCCTTTGCGTTGATGATTGAACCAAAGATACAAAGTCATTAAGCATTTCAATATTGCCATTGTCATCATTACAGCTGTGCAGTTCTTTTGCAGTCATGGTTTTGGTCATCTTCATGTTCAGCTGCAGGCCGTTCCTTCTTTCACATTCATCAAAAGTAGTTTGAAAGCATTCCTGCTTTCTGCCAGTAAGGTATTGTCATTTGCATATCTTAAATTATTGTTTCTTACACTAATTTTCATTCCTCCTTCATCTGAATCTAGTCTAACATTCCATATTATATGTTCTACATAGATATTGAACCTATAGGGAGATAAAATGCACCTTTGTCTGACACCTTTGCCTATAAAAAACCATTCTGTTTCTTCATATTCTGTCCTAAGGATAGCTTCTTGTCCACAAAACAGGTTATACATCAGGACAATCAAGTAATGAGGCACACCTATTTATTTTGGAAATATCCATAGCCTCTCATGATCCACATAGTCAAAGGCTTTGTTGTAGTCTATAAAGCACAGGTTGATGTTCTTCTAATATTATTTGGCATGCTCCAGCAGCCAGTAGGAATCTGCATTATGCTCTCAAGTTCCTCCTCCTTTTCAGAATCAAGCTTGAACACCAGGCATTTCTCATTCCATATAAAGTAAAAGTATTTGTTGCAACATTTTGAGCATCAGTTTGCTTGCATGGGAAATTAGAGCAATGGTTCTATAGTTAGAACCATTGCATCTCTTTGCTTGGGGATTGGAATGTATATTAAGCATTTCTAGTCTGTTGGCCATTGTTTTGTTTACCATACAGTGGGGTCTTGACTTAAGAACGGCTCGAGTTAAGAACATTTTGACTTAAGAACCACTCTCATAGGAAAATATTGACTTGACTTAAGTACTTAGATTTGAGTTAAGAACTGAAAAAAACCCACGTGGGAGGCAGGGAAAGTGCAAACTTTGAACTTTCAGTTAACTGTTGGCCAGTGAAAAGGGTGCCTGTCTGTTTCCTCACTCCTCCCAGCGTTTAGAGAGTGGATTGCGAGACAATCTTCGGACTGCCTGGTACTGTACTGCCTGGACTGTCTTTTCCCTGCCTTCCCTGAACCTTTTTTGACCTAAGGAAAAAAGAAACAAAATATCCCCCTCTAGTGGTCAAAGGCAGAATAGCAGCTTCCCATTAGTTTCTATGGATGGAAAACAGCAGATACGGATCAAATGGTTTTCAATGCATTCTTATGGGAAATGCAGATTTGACCTGAGAACTTTTTGACT